GTGTGAAAAATTTATGGGCATAGCTGCCCAGGTTGAGGATCTGGCTGGAATCCAATGTGTCGTTTACTTGGACATTTGGTAACACCCGGGCCACACCACACTGACCTTGCCAACCTGGAGGAAGAGCTTTGTAGACACTGTGGCCACAGATAAAATACAAGCCAGGGGTTTTTAAATAGAGGGTAAGGGTATTACCCACAACTTGATGGCGCCAGGTTACTCCTTCATTTCAGCGCCAGGAGTTACTTATTAGGCAGTCCTGGCACTTTTTATGGGAAACATTTAAGTTTTTTAGGGCATGGGTATTGTTTAAAATGGCCCTATAATAGGTAACCCCAAATACGTTAGCTGTGAAACTTGCCAATGATTTTATGGACTTTGGGCATTTAGACATCCTTTCAAGGGATGTGTGGGGCAACAGAATGCCAGAGTAAATATTCATATAATACATAGGTGTTTTATTTATGGGGCCTAACGGGAGGAATAAGGGAAACTACTGCCCTTGATAACGAATGCCTGTTGGTTTTACTGTAAAGGCTATGTGCAAGAGACAAGGTGGGGGGGAGGGGTTGGGGGCATTTTTAGGGGTATTTAAAGGGTAAAGGGTTTCATTTTTTACCTCAAACCAAAGGGTTTGATCACAGGCCTTCAGGGGAAAGGTAGCCCATTTTTTTTTTTAGCATTTTTTAAACAAAGGGGCATGTTATACCTGATCCCAAGAACTTTAAAAAGAGGGACCCCCTTAGCTGCCCAGTAATAATGCCAAACTTCAGACCTCTTTTTATATTTGTTATATTGATATTTTTTAATTTATGCCCATTTCGTTTTTTGTATTACCTGTAAGGAGAGTACTTTAGAGAAATTTGCAGGTACCGCCCATAACCCTATTTCTTTTTTAGAGCAGGTTTTGTGACACAGCCAACAATTAGATAAGTGTCCCAACGTGGCTGTTTACTGAAGAGGTTTAGCGGCTGGTTGTGGGTTAGCTTGTACAAGGGGCAGACCTGAAAGCAATAGCCACTACAGCACCGTCTGAGAACCCATAGTTATAAAGTCTTAGGATTTTGTTCACCGGAACAGAAGCTTTAGTTTTTTAAGAGGTTCAGCTTTCCAGGTATTGTCTGCTTTTGGCTTTTTTGGGTCGCGGTGGGAAGAACTGGCGGTGCTCCCTCGAAGTCCGAAGTTGTTTGCTTCTGGCCCCGTCCTAGGGGCTAGCTTGACTCGGGTGTGGTGTATGCAAGTGTCTTGCTCTTTCACTCGAATAGCAGTGTGGAGAGGTAAGGAGGACTTGGAAAGGGCCCGCCCACCAGGGTTGGAGAGGCTCGTGTTTTTACTTTTTTACATAGACCCAGTCTTCTGGAGCGATTCGGTGAGCAGGAACATTAGCGAGTAGGGACTGAAATTGAATTGGTAAGCGTGGCCCCAGCTGTCCTTATTTAGAGGAATACTAAAAAAAAAAAGCATTACACAAGTCTATTACTGAATAACAAGCAGTACCTGCTGGAATGGCAGTCAGGATTGTGTGAGGGTTTGGCACCACATTGTGTCTAGCTTGAACAACCTTATTTACTGCACATAAGTCCTGGACAAATCGGTATACCGGTTTTCCCTCTGAGTCCATGTTAGGTTTTTTGACTGGCAGAATGGGAGTATTGAAAGGAGACTGGGGGTACATCTACACTACAGCGGGGAGTCGATTTAAGATACGCAAATTCAGCTACGTGAATAGCGTCGCTGAATTCGACGTATTGCAGCCGACTTACCCCGTTGTGAGGACGGCGGCAAAATCGACTTCTGCCGCTTTTTGTCGGCGGCGCTTACTACCAGCTCCGCTGGTGGAGTTAGAGCGCCGATTCGGGGATCGATTGTCGCGTCCAGACGGGACGCGATAAATCGATTCCCGAGAGGTCGATTTTCTACCCGCCGATTCAGGCGGGTAGTATAGACCAGACCTTGGTGTGAACCAGCACTTTTAACCGCAGGAATGTGGTGATAAGGTTAACAAACCTCACACCTACTGGAAATGAAACAATGCTATGCGTTCAAACCTGAAGACCCATTGAGTGTAATGGCCAAGATTTTAGATCATCATATTGATTGGTCAGTCATATTTATTTATTTCCTGACACAGAACAATAGATCTGAAGAGAGTTCCTGCCCCGGAGAGATTACAGTCTATAAAACAGACATGGAAAGAGATGACTCCTTCGGGAATCAGCTGAAACAAGCAAACCATGAATGAAGCAAGCAATCCATCTCGATTTAACTAGCAGAACAGCCGCAGCAACGCACTGTGCATTTGGTGACCTGAGTTCAAGTGGACAGAACATCGATGGAATGATTGTGATAATGAGACACAGGCCTTCAGAGTAAGTGGTGAGTGACAGAAAGGCTGCCACTAACATCACTTCCCATCCTGCTATTTTGAACTTGTCAATTTATGTTGATCAAAAAACAGAATTTCCATCCCAAGTGAACATCAGATGATTTCACGTTTGTTTTCATCCCAAAATCAGGATGAAAAGTTGAAATATTGAAATTTGCCGCAAAATGAAAAGCACTGAAAAAAAGGTCCGTTTGGAAATGCTGAAAAATCTGGGTGAGCCACAAGGCATCATGGGAGACATAGTCCAACTGTGGAGCCCAGCCCAGACAGGAGAATGGGGACATGAGCCACTTGAACTACAACCTCCACGAGGCACCACAGCAGCTCAGGCTGATGCAGAGATGAATGTCGTCAGGGCCCAAAACGTTCCACATTTCCTGACAAGGAAAAAAAAAAAAAAATCAGAAAGATCCACATTTTCCCCAATGAAAATGTCCATTTTGCAAAAACCACGTTGTCTGTCGAAGAAACCGTTTTGATGGAAAATTCCCAACCAACTCTCTTGTCAACCCACATCTCCTCTTTTAATACCTCCATTGGCTTTCCACTGCATTGAGGTGAAGGAGCTGGAACTTACAACCCTATATCACTTGACCCCAGCCTGCATCTCTAACCGTGTTTCCTTTAGCATCCCCCTTCCTGTTCTGCCAGTTCCCAGCAAGAGTGGTAACTCCGGAGCTGGAGCGTTTGAGTGAAACTCATCCCTGTGCGGCATGCCACACCAATGGCCAGGCACTACTTTGGTGAGCAGGAAATGGTTTTCACATCCTGCACAACTTTTCGAGATTTCAAATAAATTCTTTTTTCCATTAATACCAAACCAAACCAAAAAACCAAACCAAACCAAAAAAAAAAAAATCTTCAGAAGGTTTTGGTTATGAAAAAGCAAATTAAACAGCCCTGAATATCCAATAGTCATCTGACTTTGGCACAAACCCAAAATGGGGAAGACCCAAGTTCAAGTCACTGGTTTGACTCAGGGTAGAGGAGGGAATTGAACTTCAACTTAGGTCTCTTGTATCCCTGTTGAGTTACCAGGCTGTACAACATTCTGGGATGTGGTGTGCATGCTCTGTCTTGCTTTGATCAGAAATTCCATCCTGGACCTCAGAAAACGTTGCCAACAAAAGTTTTGTCAAAGCGGGTACATTCTCATATGATGTTTCGTTAGAAAATGCTGGTTCACTGAAGCAGAAAAACTATTTTGCTGAAAAATTCCTAATCAGCTCTGCTGATGAGTCCCTGCTCAGTCTTATTTTGAGGGCTAAGCCGGTGTCTAGATGCACAGGGTTGAATACCACCCTTAGGGAAGGGCAGTTTTGGTCTAGGAAGCTCTCCCTTTGGGCTGGATGGCAGGCAGGGCAGTGAGCTCTGCATAAACAGTAAATGACAAACTGGGCATTGTCACTGGCAAGACCATGGCAGCTAAATACTCTTGACATGTGGACGGTAATAAGCAAGTGTTAAAGTTATACTTGATCTGTGTGCCCTCTTGCTGTGCGGAGTGGCCATGCTCATCACAGGAGCCTCTAGGTTTATGTGTACACTGCCTGCAGCAGTGACCCTCCCACCCTGGGTCAACAGACTTGGGCTCGTACTACTGCCGTAAAAAACAGATCTGGAGACCGCACTCACCCCTCTCTCTAGGCTTCAGAGCCCGAGCTCCACCCCGAGCTGCAATGTCTACACAGCTATTTTTAGCACGATAGTGCAAGCCTGGGTCTGTTGCCTGTGGCAGCAAGCCTCCCAGCCTGCATCTAGACATCCCCTAGAAGTCCCAATGGAGATCAGGCCACATCGCACTAGGTGCAGTACATACAGTCCCTGCCCCAAAGACCTCGCAATCTAACCAAAGAGCAGGAGAAAGGAAGCATCGTTATCCCTCTCTTACAGATGGGGAACTGCAGTGCAGAGAGACGAAGGGACTTGCCCAACATCAGAGATTGTGTTGCAGAGCCGGGAATTGAACCCACAGCTCCTGAGTCCCAGTCCTGTGCCCCCTACAGCCCAAGAGTGGCTAAGCTTAGGGCTTGACCTCTCTATTTCGGTCTTTTGGCTGCTTTGCGTGTGGGCATTTATTTTTAGTTGCATCATCCTCCCACTGGCTGGGCTGCGTCCAATGGCTGTGTTATATATTTTGTGTTTGTTTTCACAGCTGACAGCCAAGGAAGCCTGAGTGGTATATTGGCAGAGGGGAAATAATTACAAAACACAGGGACTCCAAGCTGCCAGGAGTGCAACACCCAATCCAGGCAGCTACAGAGAAACGTGTCATTGATTTGTCATCAATCAAACAGAGGGATTGGAAGGGATCCGGAGTCAAACACACAGTTGCCTTTTTGTTTGTCCGTAACAAACCCCGTCAGCACTGCTGGGGTAGACGGATAAAAAGCAAAACTTTACTGCTGCCTTGTTACACAAGAAGGTGACCGGGACACAAACCCATTCAATCAGGCGGCGGCTGCCTCGCTTTCCCCATACACTAGTGCTGCTTCTAGGGTGACCAGATGTCCCGATTTTATAGGGACAGTCCTGATTTTGGGATCTTTTTCTTATATAGGCTCCTATTACCCCCCACACCCTGTCCCGATTTTTCACATTTGCTGTCTGGTCACCCTAGCTGCTTCCCCAGAGCTAAGCTGGCCGTAAGGTGGCAGATCTGGCTCTGGGAAGATTCCTGTGGGCACCAATCCAGTGCTGGGATGGCCCCAGGATCAGGGGAGCACAGAAGGCGTTGCAAGCTATTTGTGCTTCCCTTTTGAGCTCAGGACCTGGGCCCGTGTAGCTAGAGCTGACAGGTTCCCGTTAGATACTCTCGGATGAGTTACAGCTTTGCCCTTCTGGAGGAAGATTTCATTCCGCAGTCATAACAAACGGAGACACTACATACCAACCTGGCACCTCGTGGACACGTGCACAGATCTTATCAACAGTATCTAATTCACTGCAATGCCAGTTGCCTGCTGTGTTCATTGGCTTGTGGGATCTGAAATACCTCAAAGAATCTCTCCCTGGAGTCATTACCAGCCCCGCCCCTCTCTCTTTTCTGTCCCCATTTTCAGTTGTTTTCCATTCTGCATACGTTGTCGTTCCAGAGAGTTAATAAGTCCCTGTGAATGGCCTGAGGCTTATTTCCTTTTGAACATTATAATCCACGAGTCCTTCATTTAACCATTTTCCCACAAGAGAATTTCGTGCTTCTGGAAGATCGTGCAGCAATAAGTCCTTGGGTTTGTCTTATCCTTGTAGTGAGGATGCAAGATAAAAAAAAAAGTCAGCTCGATGTGTCATCCAGCAGATGATGCCTTCAGCAGTCTAGCGTTCCCCTAGCACTATGCGGGGGGCAGGGGTCATTTGAGACTCAAAGGAAAGACAACCACCTGCTGAAGTGCCAACATCTCTGCCTTCGGCATCTGGATGTCCCTTGGGGATTTCCCAGCCACAAAACTGACCAGGCTTGTACATTCCGATGAAAACAATGACTGAGGAAGTTACGGCTCAAAATAATAAGAAGTGAACATCATGGATCAGATCCTCAGCTGGCGTACGTCGGTAGATGACCGGCTTTATTGGAGCTCTGCCGATTCACACCCCATAAGGTCTGGCCCACTATCCCTGCGAAAAGCAGTGTATCAATGCTCCCAAGATCAACGCACGCTACGAATGACACTGTACAGCGCGAGACTGAAGACAAGCTAGAATACATTTGTTGCTAAAACAAGGGCACAAGCGCTCATTTCCCTGACGGGACTCATGCGTGAGGGGTCATATGGAAAGAATTCCTGGGCAGGCACACACACAGTGCATGCCCTATCCGTGGAGCAGGGACTGCTGAAAGGGAAAAGCCTTGTAGGGAGAATTTTTGCAAGGTACGGGAATCTGCCATCCCAGGCCTTGCTTCTGGAAACAAGAGGATCCCAGAGAACTGACAGCAAAATACTGCTGAGGGGATTGTTTCAGCGATGGAATTAGATGCATCGCATAGCTAGGCCACACACAGCACAACTGTTTTATATCCTGCCTGAAAAATGCAGGCAGCATCGCTGGCGACACCTCAGCCTGGCCGTAATTCTTCACGTGATTTTGCCGGTGAAACCAGGGATTGCTTCACCAGCGACTGGCACGCTGCTGATTTTCCCAGGCAGGAAAAGAACATACGTCTGTTGTGCAGGCATCCTAATCCTTAGGCAGCCGGGGCTAAAATCAAGGGCAATCTAAATCTAAAATCAAGGGTA